CCAAATACCATAAATTTAGTTTTATCCAAATTCAGAGATAGTATATTACTGTCACACCATTTCTTTATCTTCTCAAGTTCCTGTGAAACCCGTCCAGAGAGTTGCTGTAGGTTTTCCCCGGATGCCCATATGGTAGTGTCATCAGCACATAAGACCACTTTCACTAAATCAGAAACCTTGCATATATCGTTAATGTATAATATAAATAATTGTTTAGCTGTACTGGCTATATTCTCCTTCCCCTGGGCTTATTAACCACATTTTCTTCACAAGGAGAGAGTACACATAATTGACAACAGAAAACCACTTGTGTGTTTAAATAGTTTGTTTGGATGAGTGGTAAAATGTATAATCATTATTATGATGACCTCCACTAAGGCAGAGGTGTGTTTTATTAGTTTGTTCACAGCATAACTCAAAAAGTGATGAATAGATTTTGATTAAATCTTTTGGAGAGGTAGGGTTTAGCCCACAGAACACTCCATTAGATTTAGGTGCTGATCCGGATCATCATCTGGACCAAGGAATATTTTTTAAGGGATTTACCATTGAGAGATATGGCCACTTTCAATATTTTTCTTCTAACTCCATATACAGTGCCTACAATACTTTGACAAAAATTGCATAATAACATTCCCATAAGATAGACCACACACCAAGATCAAAGTAATATTCCGGATGTGCTGATCCAGAATGTTCACGAAAAACTGGCTACCGTGAAAAAACAAATGATGCACAGATTTGATGCATCTTCAAAAGTTACTGAGCTACATCCTGAAGAAAATTGCCATTACTGAAATATTGTTTTTCTTGTATAACTGTCAAAGTAATAGCGATTTCAGTGTGATTCCGAATGCTAGGAGTAGGTTTTATGGTCAAAGAATCATACTATGAGGGTCAGACTGACATGACAACATTGCTTCTAGGTGTAATTGCATTATGGGAACATTGAGCTGCCTTGGCAGAGGTTTGTGTGCTGAGTGCTGTCTAGTTCATCATTATTACTGATGCACTTTATCTGATACTCTTCTTGATGTGACGCTTATTTATCAGTTTGCATTTTTAACAAATCCTTCAAGAGAACTGTACTGCATTCTGACGGGTCCACTTCTTCACCTGTTCTCTCTTTATATTTTTGATGTAAAGAACTGCTGCTGTTTTTGTAAAATGTGATCTGTAAATAAGGACTGAAGTGAATGACTGATGCGGTTTGACGTGGGTGTGTTGTGCACCTGTCATGTTATTCACTAACAGAATAAAACATTGTTTGGCTTGGTGATTACTGTGCACCAAAGCAAGCACTAGCACACCTGTTTAGATTAAACCCAATGACAATTCACTACTGACATATCATAGAATGTGCGTTTCAGACCGCAACCATCTACTACAAAAATGAGATGTAAAAATTTAAGTTCAATCAATTAATTGCTTTAATCACTATACAGTAAAGTAATGTGTAAAATCAACTTTAGAAATAACTAGTCAACACTCAGAGAGTGCAACCTCCACCAAGGACAACTCAGTTTCCCCACAATGCCATAAAAGCAATATTCCCATGAAGGTTTGATCCTCATAAATGATTGCTTGTACATGAAAACCTACTGCTGGCATTTGTAATGATGCTCATATCTTTATTATTTTAAAGTTATTCAATTCTGTTTTATTTGTAAGTTATAATGCCAATTCACAACAACAAGAGCACAGTAAGTTCTTGAAAACCCAACAAATCGCCCTTGAGCAAACACTCAGAAAAACAATAGACATGACAAACATTCACCCATTGGTTTAGGGGTAAAACAGGGATTTCAGTGAGTGGACCATGGGAAAAGGGGTGAAGATGTCACATTTGTTCAAGTTTGTCCTCTGCTTGTTCAACATCTGTTTGATAAACTGCTCATACAGTGTTGTTGCTGACTGATTGTTGCACTATAGAGTGGTACATCCTGTGCTAAATCAGGTCTTTGTCTCCATATGTGCTTGGAGTGCTCAGCAGCATAGTCGTACACTTTGGCCACAAGGGGGCTCACATAATGTCAAGCATTCACAATGGTGACTAACCTTTAAAAATATTCCTATATCCAAATTATGATATGGATCAGGACCAAAATCTAAGCAATTGTTCCGTGGGCCATACCCTATCTCTCCACAAAAATTTCATCCAAATCCATTTGCTACTTTTTGAGTTATGCTGTGAACAAACAAACACAAACTAACAAGCGCTGGCAAAAACACAACCCCCTTCCTTGGCGGAAGTAGTAAGGACCTATGACAAGAAAGCACTTGCAGTGTGTTCCTTACCGGCTTCTCTGTATTGACCGAATACAAGGTCACTGGGATCAAGAGCAGCAGCACTACCAATATGTGTCCCCTCCTCACCATAGTTGGTCATGTAGAAGGAAATCCGACCCTGCGACAGAAGCAAACGCTCCTTTTCAACACCCCTCATCTGTTCCATGGTTCAAGCAAAAAATACAAGAGGAAAAACTCACCTGCCTCTGAGACTCATAAAGAATGCGGTCCATTGTGTTCAACAGAGTCATCTTCTGATAAAAGTTCAAAACTGTCTCTTTGGAAAGCTGAGCAGAGAAGCAACAATATGTAAGTGGTGGAGGTCACAGTACTACTTTCACTCACCAAGGACCTAGGCAGACAAACTGTACCTTAGGGTCTTCAGAGGGGTTGATGATGTTGCCCTGCCTGTCCATCACTCTGTACACTGGGATCCCAGAGATGACATTGGGCTGGATGAACTCAAGATGATCCACAAACTCAGCTGAGGCTCCAGGGAACTGTGGCTTTTCCAGCGATGAATCAAAGGGCTGCTGCCGGTGCACAGCCTGAAAGATTCAATTTATTTATTAACAATCTAACTATGGCTGTGGCATAAGAAGGTCCTCTACAAAACATACACCACAAAGGAGGATTTGCATTTCTCTTAATAATGACATCCAGAGAAAAAGCTTTGCAGCTGCTGTGATGCTCAGTGGGCAACTGACTTGTTGCATGTCATTCTACAAAAGGTGATTTTACATTTCCTGTTTTAAAAGCTTGCTGCAACAGTTGAAACTGTAATTTGTGATCTTCTGTGATTTGCCATTAAATAGAATAATCCTTATTCTATACTAATATTGTATTTTCAAAAATACCATCCCTTTATTATAACCTCACAGATGGCCCATAAAATATTTGGTTTCCTGAAGCTATCCCTGGAACTGTCACAATTTTTGCCATTTTCTGATTCCACAAATATCCATTGCTACACATTCAAACTTTATACGGTATAGACGTGGCAGACAGGTTTAACTTTAATATTTAAATGGATTCTGACTGATATACTTGCCAGATTTCCAGTAACAGAAAATATATTTATGGATTGTAAAGTAAAACATTTAATTTTTATAAACGATGTGTAAAAATTACCAACACAATGAAAGATTCATTTTAGTGACGTGGCAGAAACATTACAGTGACCGAAGGACATAAACACTGATGGCGACACAAACAGCTCTCGTTTTCTTCTTCTCTGGATGATATTATATGGGGGCGGCTGTGGCTCAGGAGGTAGAGCGGGTCGTTTCCTAACCGGAGGATTAGCGGTTCGATTCCCGGCTTGTCCAGTCAACATGTCGAGGTGTCCTTGAGCAAGACACTGACCCCCCAGTTGCTCCCAGTGATGTCACCGGTGTGTGAATGCGTGAGTGCTTGGGAGTGCGAATGGCCGAATAATGTGTGAAAGTGCTTTCAGTGTGCTGTAAAAGCATAGAAAGGCGCTATACAAGTATAAGACCATTTACTACTTATACAAGTATAAGACCATTTACCATATTTCTACTCACGCCCCTTTCTACGACCAATGGGAATGTATATATAGCTAGCTAAAACTTTAGGCGGCTAGCTTGCAACCTAATGTTCATAGTCACAAAAAAGTGTAATAATGCAAGTTGAAAACTACATCTTAAACATACAGAAACTTAAGTCTGAATTCACAAGACTGCTTTGGAGAATCTGTAGACATTAATAATTAACTTATTGTAGTTGCTGCAAGGTTACCAGATAACGTTAAGGTAGCTGGCTCACAACCTATCGCGATAACTGAAGTCATGCAACGCGCTCTTGTGAATCCATAATGGATCCTCGCAAATCCAACCGTCTCTAGTCCGAAGCCCAACACAACTGCTTACCTTACACCTACACTTGAACATCTCTTGTCGACCTAACTTGATGGCACAGTTTTGACATTATACCTAAACCAGGGTTTTGATTAACCAGGCTAAAACCAGGCCACTTGTTCCTACAACCCCGTGGGATCATTCACTAAAGCGACCTTTCATGTTATTTAGTTACCTAACAAAACAACAGCAATGCTGTTAAAACTTACACAGACTCTGAAGGCTCTGTGTTGAAGCAGCTTCGATGGCTTCAATCCTACCATCTGGCGAATACCATGGAAACACAGTCCATATATTTTGTTCATACTTCTCACAGCCGCCATCTGGACAGTCCACAGTTATCTGATTTGACCGCTCAGCCAGCTATCTTGTCAGAAATGTGAAACTCTACAGTAAATATGTTAGAATATGAGATAAGACTAACTAGCATGCGGGGTTGACTGCTTTTCACTCTGCAGCACTGCTATTTCTATCCACATAAACCACTTGTCAGGTCGAGCAAGCTACAAACAGCAGTATGCTATGACAACATCCGGTCATACCTTTAAAAATAAAAGTTGTGTTATCTATAATTCTTTAACAATAGTAGCTCCCTATGTCTAACATACTGCCGTTCTTTATAATTTAAAATCATACTCGATGCATGTAACACATTTTATTTAAAGTGAATTATACTTATATATTATCTTAATGTTTTCCTGCAACATATCTGCTATGCATTGAGGGCCATGTTTTATTCCCAGTGATACTGAAATTTCAATCCTTTTTGCAGTTTTCTTGATTGTGTGATAGTTTACAGTTATCAATCTCCTCACAGGGTTGTTCTATTTACTGTCAATATAGGAAGGTGGAATTACTTATTTTACAACATTTGATAAAACCTTTATGTATGGTCCCTTTGTCACGTCAAACTATTTGCCAATACACTCACTCTTGGTTGATATTAGGATTATCAGACATCAAAACTATGCATTTAACTGTAACACAGCGAATGACGCACTTGATCTCATACATCACAGCTATCAGGATTTCAGCACTGACTGCACGGACTGCCACAATGTTCTATCAGTTCTATCTGCATATCAGCCTGTTCTGGTGGAATGCACACCCTCTCCCGTCAGGCACATCGCCCGCACATGCCAATCTAGATTTTATTTCCAAAATTGAGACGTCAGTTATCCACACGCACTTGTCAGCATTACATTCATTGCTTTTGAACTAACGATACAAATACTACTACGTTGTATGTAATACACATTACTCTAATCTGAACATGTTGGTGGAAATCATTGCAGGGTGCTGCCTAAAAGTCCAACATCGGTTTTTAACTCCTAAACTCCAAAAAGTCTGGGACAGCCTCCTCGTTACTACGTTGTTTAGAAGAGTAGACAGTAATAATAGTGACCCCTGCTGGGCAAACCCAGGTACTAGATTTGTATAAAAAGTTTTGAAGATAGTTTCAGTCAAAGCGAGTTGAAATATAAAAAATGGACTCTTACTTGTAACAGAATATTTTTATATTGAGGCAGTTTTACTCAGGTAAAAAATCTGAGTATTTATTACACCATTTCTGTGTATAGCCCAGGGTCGCTACAGGCCCCAAATAGCAAAACAAATGACGTCATCCGCCCGCGACAAACTCTTTTCCCCTTCCAGGTAGCAGCATGATGGAGGTGTGTGGTTCTGGTATTGTTAACCTGAGAGAGTTTGGATGTGAACAGAGTTTACTGTCTCGACCTGATGGTTCGGCGTCCTTCATCCAAGGTAACGACACAAACAAACATGACACAGCTGTAAATGCAGCTAGGACAGAGCGTTAATCAAAGCTCGCTGTGCTCGTCAGTTAAGTTATGTAGGATTGTGTGCGGTTTACTGCACTTCAACACTAAGGTAAATGGTAAATGGACTGTAAGTCCAGATATTTTGTAGTTAAATAGTATAAAACTTGCAATTAACTTGCATCTCGCCACTAATCATTATAACCTGTGTTTATCACTGTTTAAACGTAGCTTTTAGTTCATAACTTGCAGACATAGTTTGGGCTGTCGTCAGTTTGGTGCACTGTAACTAGAATGTGTTGTGAACCTCCTTTCTGGAACAGAGCTCTGTTTTCTCCCAGTGATGCCCACCGTTTTGAAACACCTTTGATGTGTTTGCTCCTGTTTGGTTTCACTCACCAGATAAAAACCAGCACATCCATACTGACAATTGAAAGCAGCAGCATTGAGACTGTACAAAAACACGTGGTCTGAGCACTTTTAAAGGCATTACTAACACTGCTTTCACACTGACAGATCTCTCCTTCATCATACAGTTTGGGTTTTATGCACCTAAAACGTACTGTCTCTGAATACATTCCTGTTGACAAAGGATCATTTTGTATTCATCATACAGTTTGGATTTTATACACCTAAAACGTACTGTCTCTGAATGCATTCCTGTTGACAAAGGATCATTTTGTTTTGTATAATGGCCTCTGTTTGCACTGAACTCATGTTGTATTATTGGGCATTCTACTGCTGTTTTAGTACTATTAAAAACTTTTTTCAGCATTTCACACTTGTTCTGTTTTAAATGAGTTGATGTTCATCCTCCTCCTCACCTACAGCTGATATGCTCAATCTGCAGCGAACACAGCTTTGTTATTGTCTTTATTCTCTAAGGCGAAACATGATATCCCCTCTTGGATCAATATTCTCTGTTGAATGAAGTCCTGTGTTGTTTATACCTGAAGGTGACACAAGTGTGTTGGCGGGAGTGTACGGACCAGCTGAGGTCAAAGTCAGCAAGGAGATCTATGACCGGGCAACACTGGAGGTGCTGATCCAGCCCAAAGTGGGACTGCCAGGTAAGTTGTTATCTGAGGGAAGAACATCTTTTCTCAGTGTGCAGCGTTATTGAGTGTATTGGACGTCTAATGGAGCTGCTGAATGCTAGTCGAATCCAGTGTGTAATAATTTTATGTGTAATAATTTACTCTTCCATTTTCTAGCACTTCATTATTTTGCCAAAGAAGTAGTTTAGATGTATGTTAATATTTAAATGCTGCAAACATGAAGTATTGCAGTTACTACGCTGTGTTGAAATTTGGAGATGTTTACTATGCATGAACATTGTTATTCATTTGAGAAAGAAATGTTTCTGCCAGCTTCTTTAGGTGAGAATATCATATTTAAGGCAAACTTTGGGGTTTTGGGATGCTACGAACATTATTTTAAAGCCTTGTCCTATTCTACAGTGCAGAAGCTGCCATACCACAACACTCCATGAAGAAGAATAAGTGTGCCAATTTGTTTTGTATGAGTCAAGAATCTATCTAACATTTAGGGTTTATTTTCTAGGTGTAAAGGAGCGTTCCCAAGAGCAGTCTGTGCGGGAAACCTGTGAGGCATCTCTTCTGTTGTCACTTCATCCTCGCTCCTCCCTCACTCTTGTACTTCAGGTGTTGCATGATGATGGTTCTGTATCCTTCAGTAAAAGTCTGTAAAGTTGATGTCAAGTCTGCCCCAAACGTCAGCCACTGAGATGGTGCCCTTATGGTTTTTATTGGTGAGTCTGCTTCCTGACCTGTTCCTCAGCTCCTGTCCTGTTGTCTGAATGCTGCCTGTATGGCTCTTATGGATGCAGGCTTGCCCATGAGTTGCCTGTTCTGTGGAGTGACTTGTGCCATTGACACAGCTGGTCAAATCATCACAGATCCCACTGCAACTCAGGAAAAGGTAAATCTGAGGCTTGTGTTGTATATATATATATATATTAAAAAAAACACCCCAAAGCACTGCGATATTGACAAGTGCCACTGTTTCCTAAAAATGTTTCAGTAAATCACACAGAAAAATGTTAATGGATCAGCAAAGAAGAAACAGTTTTTTCATCTGTGCACTTGCTGTGGTGAAGGGAATGAGAAGAGTTGTATTTATCTTATTGACAGATATCAGAAAAATCATCATTTTCATTGTTCAGGAATATAAAGGACACTTAAAGGCCTCGGAAAAATCACAGACAAAGCCAGTCACAAATACACTGTATATCTGAAAAGCCTTAAAACAGATTTCATACACACTCATAGTCTGATATAGTCTAATAAATGTCTCCCAGAATCATACACATCTTTTTAACTCCTCCCTGAGTTGGTTCATTTGTTCCTGTCTGTTTCCACTCTCACCAGGAAAGTCGCGCTTTGATGACCTTTGCTATTGACAGCACAGAACATAGAGTTATGATGTCATCAACCAAAGGATCGTTTTCAGTTCATGAGGTCAGTAAATACCTGAGGTGCTGCACTGCTCTTATGTTACTTGTCATATCTGTCATTATTGAGCACCTTGATTCTATGATTTCCTTCAGGTCTGATGATGATGAAGAGTTTTTTTTTTCTTTGTCTATCTGTAACGTTATCACAGACCTTTCATACTTGGCCCGTCTTTGATTTTTTTCTTCTCCTACAGCTACAGCAGTGTATAGCAGTCAGTCAGAAAGCATCAGAGAAGATCTTCCAGTTCTACAGAGACTCCGTCAGGCGGCGATACTCCAAAACCCTCTGATGAAGAAGCAGCTTTCTTTTTCTAGAGCTTTTGTAATGATGCATACAAATATTGATTTGTAATAAAATAGTTAGCACCCGCTTTGAGTGAAACAAGTGCATTTATTGGGATACATCGAGTTTCTTTCACTTTAATATTTACATGTAATACAAGGATGTGAACTGGGAAAGAACTCAATATGTCTTGTACTAACAAATCTCATTTGCCAGAACCTTTGACCTTTATCAACTCAGGAGCAGTCCACTTCACTGTGTCCAGCAATTATTTGTATGGAAAGTGAGACAGATCTGACCATACAGTGTCTCATAACACGATCAGTCAAGGCAAACCACATTAAATGCTCCCTCTAACAACAAATGGTAATTTTTTCATTGACATAAATGTCCAGTGGAGACAGGATGGGTCAGGATTGTCAGATTGGTGCGAGTCAATGTGTGCAGCTGGATCAGCATGGGGGAGCTGACAGAAAATGAAGTGTGATTTATTTAAAGTTTAACTGAACTCAATAAAAACTATGCCAGTAAAAAGAAAATGTTGGCTTTTACCTTACAGTTATTTTTTTAATGGTACATTTATTTTCAACCCAGTATGGCCAGAGTTGCTTTTTCAGGATGTGATCAGAGCTTGAAGCAGGTGATGGCAAACCTCTGTCTCAGATTTTGCTGATGCATGCATCACACTGCTGACTACTATGTGTCTGATCAGTCTACTTTTTGCTAAATATTTTGCTTGTCTGGACAAAGTTTGTCACTGCAAGAAGCAAGAATTTCAGCCTTGTTTTTGAAGGAGAAAATAGAATCTCTCTCGCTCGCTCTCACCAGAATTTCCTGTTTTGTTCAAAGAATATGTTTAAGAATAGAGCTCTGAAACTATCATCAGCTTTCACCCACAAGCAACAGTGCTGGTTCAGGCCCTCCAAAGCAAGGTCCATTAGGATTTAGCCACTGTCATGTCCTTATGTCTTTGCTATGACCATCCTGTAAATCTGCAGACTCCATCTCCTCTGCATACCGCCCTCCACCTGGCTCCTCCCAGGCAGATGAGCTACACACCCTTCTTCTTCTTCTTCTTCTTCTTCTGCCTCTCATTATTCATCCATTGTTTTGTGACAGTGATATCTACAATGTGATGATAACATCTGCAACTGTTTTCACTGGTTCTTCTTCTTTTTTTTAACATAGGCCCACAGGTGACAAAATAAAAAACACCCACAGACAGAATTTTCTACATGGAGTGGTACTGAAAAACAACTTTCTCAGTGATTTTTCTTCATGTGCTAGTAATGTCCTTTGAGATGAATGATGTCCTAATTGAATGAGAGGTGATTATGATCTATACACCAGCTCTCCTGCTGTGTTTTCACTGTCCATTCTCTGCTTCTCCATATTCATGTTGTTAAGATGAATGTAGACATGGCTGACAAACAAAGGCCGATTTCTTTACATGTACAAGTGATACGTTGGCTTATGTTGATACAGTAGGTCTGTTTTTTATGTGCATCCTTGTGCAAGGATTGCTTTTATGGTGGCTTTCCAGACAGGTAGGAAATCAACACAGCAATGGCGCAGATGTATGTTACGATTCCAAACACAATGGAGAGCACTGAGAGCCACAGAGCCTGGCGAGATGCTGCATTGGCCCCCTGAAAATCCCCCTGAGCTGATGCCTTGTTGGTCTGAGAAATAGAGGAGAGAGGGGAGAGAGATAAGAATTAGAGTGAAGAGAGGAGAGAAGGACATTCAGCATCATTTATCAGTGTCCTCTCTGGTCTCCACTGTCCTCTTCCACTCATTCTAGTCACACACTAAACCCACATTATGTTCCATCTTTGGGTCACAGCCAATGCCCGTGTCTCATGTTTCCTTCCTCTCTCCCTCTAGTCCTTGACTTTGACTTTGACCCCTGGTACCACTCAACAATATTGGAAATCTATCACCTTATTGTTATGACTCTAATTAAACTGTAACAAAGGCCATTGATCTGATTAAGAAGCCTGCACAGCTTGCTGCCAGTTAGTGTTGTGTAAGCTTTAATGGGATTTTTTTTCTGCACTGCTGGAAGAATGCTTATAATAAAACAGAGGCTTCTGGCATCCTGAGATAGAGGTGTTAGGGCCTTTTTCACAATGCAAACAGGAACAGTGACTGATGGGATTGTTTGTGTGAGGTTTTGCTCTTATCCTTTTGACCTGCTCCATATTTCCACCATCTTTGTCTCAGAAGAGACTGATCATCTCACCAAGACTGACCCTGGCCAGCTAGAGGAGCAGCATTCTGATGGCTTTGTGCTGTTTTTTTTTTTGTTTGTTTTTTAAATAGGGAATGCACTTAGTCAGTGTTGTCCACTGTTGGTAATGTAGGAATGTTTTTGTTTGCATGTACCTTCTGTGAAAGGTAGAAAGCAGCGATGCCCAGGGGCCAGAAGCAGCAGAGCATGGAGAAAAAGGCCAGACCCAAGTGGTCCTGTGGGATCATCAGAGGGAAGTCGCTCTCACTCTCCGTATCACTGAAGTCATCAATGGAGGAGTCCTGGGATTCAAACAGAATGCAGAGGGTTTGCTTTCCCATATTACAAAGAAATACCTCCAGTACCTGCAGACTTCCTCTCTCATTTCAGCCTCATAATGTTATTCTGCTTGTTTTATTTTATGCCTGAAATAACTGCATTATCCAAAGATGCTCCTATAACATAACAATACATGAGAAATTGCTTATTTCTCCGATGTCACAGATTTAAGAATGTAAACTACTGTAGACAACATTATTACATTATTGCATGCAATAATTTTGAACATTAGCTCAGAGGATTATTATGAACGGTTTTTCTTTTAAGGAATAAGCGGTATAGATAATGGATGGGTGGATGTATAAGTCACTGCACATGGCTCTGAGGTCATCTTGTAAACTAATGATCAGCTCCTCAATGAAAAATCATCATGAAGAAATGAAGCGTTAATAAGCATTTGAAGTGAAACAAAGAAGTTGAAGCTGTTGTGCCTCTTTGAGGTCACTTCAAGGTTTTACTCCCACAGGCCTTTGCATCACTGCACCACAGCCAGCATTCAGAATGAGCCTGGAAAAAAGGTTACGGTATTTTGTGTGCTGTTCTTTTGTCCTTGAGTAAACTATTAACTTAAAGTTTGCAGTGATAAACTACTCTTGAATTTAATGTTGTTTGTTTGCTTGCTTGTACTTTTAATAGAAGTAATAATTGTAAAACAGCCTTCAGCCACAACAGGTAATTGAACCTTTATTTGAACCTTTCTGAGAGATTTTTCATAATAACTTTAACAACCAGCAGCTACTTATTTGTGGCGAATACAGAATATATACATATAAATTCACTTGTTGACCACTATAAGCGTTCTAAAGCTAATTTACATTTCAGTGCAGGGCTGGCTTTGCTCATTGATCTAGGAAATAGAACTGACATCCTAGATCACTACCGTAGTGTCATTACCTACTCCACAGCAGGAGAGGAGCTTTATGCAACCTGGCTTTTTGACAGTAAGCTTTCCATTGTTGCCTACCCTGAAGTGCACTGTGCATAAGTCTATTTTAAGTTCCTCTGTTGTTTCTAGAATCTGTACTGAGGATATGAAAGGGTCCCTCGCTTTTAATGTAAAACTCCTCTGAGCAACAAATGTGTTAATGAGTTAGGATAAGACACAGTGGCTGTTTTTGTACAGAGATGAAACAGTTGGCCAAGTAATCGATCGGCTTGTGTGAGGACTGGCTGCTTTTCTCTATTTTATATTGTTATAAACTAAATTGGGCTGCTATTATTTGCACAAACTGCACATTTATAAATTTGAGTAGAGCTTTCTCACAATTTTCTGACACTTAATTTTTCATATTCATTTAATGAAGAAAATAATCATTAGTTTTAGACCTCTTGAGTGAGTTACACAGCTTTTTTTTTAAATAAATGTTTTGTTTACAATAAATGCTTGATTTTACAAGTGGGAATTCAAGGCCTCAGTACTGCATCATGTCAGTGTCTTACATCAGAGTCAGGAAGCAGGTCGTCCTCGTCATCCATGCTGTAGGACGCACTGTGGCAGTCCTGTGTCTCAGCCAGCAGCTTCCTCTCCAGTGTGGAGCTGGGTTGAATGTCCACAAAGGTGGTCTCCAGGTAGTCTTTGCTGAGCAGGGAGTCTGCGTGGCCCCAGACGGGGGCCGGTGGATAAAAGGACTCCAGTGTTTGATGTAAGGAGCAAGGGTCCAGTAGCTGCTGTTGCTGGAGCTCAGGGGGATGTCCACAGTAGTCCCTCCATGCTAAGGGAGGGTAGACCCTGTTCTGCTCGCACTTAACCAAGATGCACTGGAAGAGCCCACCTGGAGCCTGTCCAGGTCTGGGCCCCAGTCCTGGCCCAGTTGCCTGGGTGTTATTGGGGTTTTCTTCCACAAGAGGGTGCTTCAGCTCATCTAGATCCTCCATCCCTCTCTTTTAATAGCAGCCACTCATGAGTCCATCACATCAACAGCCAAATATAATTTACAACCCCTCTGAGTGTTTCTCTGAAGTGTCCAGTGAGTCTAGGTAAAGACAGCTGCTTTGCTGGCTTTAGTGTTTCAGTGATAATCCATCTTTAGTCCTATTCTTTAAAACATCTCTTATTATAGGTCCAGAGGCCAACAGCACCCAACAGGTTTATCATATAGTGAGAGAGCATTAAGGTGCCAGCTGCAGCCCTCTGATGTGGTGCTGACCCTGATCCTCTTTTCCACACTTGTCATCAGCTATTTGTTTCAGGGCTTGATGACTTAGGTTTTGCCCCATGTCATTCATTTCACATGACTGAGTGTGTCATCGTTCATGAATACAATAATAATTAGCTACCTTCTCTCTCATACGATATGGTAATGTCAGTTCTGATAGTGGATGATGATTAACCAGAGGCTAATGAAAACACTGGGCAATGGATGTTCTATGTGACTGCCCTCAGGAGCTCATGGAAATTGTCTCTTGCAGTAAAATCTTAACTTAAGCATAATATCATGATGTATGTGTGAAAGCTTTGGATGTCAGTTATGGATGGAAATGAATCAAGAAACTATTTTAAGGAGAATAATAAGAAAGACTTTCAAGTTGTCATGACATCCTGTTTATGTTGTGTTGGTTCTTCTGTAGAAGTCTGAAAAAATAAAACACTGGTTCTGTTTTCAAAAACAGACCAAAGGCATTGGCCCTTCAGATGACTGGACTGATGCACAGTGGGGTGTTTTGAAGCTTGAATATGCACAGCCTCCGGCAGCAGTCAAACTAGTAGCACAATGAAATAACTGGGGCCATATTGGAGGACAGTTCATCTGTAAAAGCAACAAGGGACTGGGACAGTTCATCTGTAAAAGCAACAAGGCTCCAGAAATAGAATCCTACAGTGCACATCTGCCATCATGTATGCTCCTCTGTTGCTGCAGGAAGTGACAAAGAAATGAAAGTCCACTGGTGTTGATTTATGGCTGTAGGTTTGCTCCCTCCATGAGGCCAGATGAAGAGTAGGGGGGCTCTCTTTCCAGCTCTGTGATGAGAACTGTTAAGACAAGAACAAGGTCACAAAAATTATTTATACATTATAACTTAACTGTAACTCTCTGCAGACGTTATTCTGTTTCTGAGCCTTGTGTGCTTCTAAAGCTTGGACTTGAGAGTTGTTTTTATTTGCACACACGGGCTGCATAGCTAACCTTACCCTAAAGTCACATTAGAAACAATATGTCACTGCATTTAACCAATCAGCTCTGACTCCTGAGGTGCCACATTAACTAGTTATGGATTGCATCTTAATGAATGTCACTTAGAGGTGGTGGGGATTGTTATTCTTGTTTGTTAAATGAATGTGTATCTGCAGCAGCCACATTGTGATGTTTGGGTGGTTCTAATAATATATCATTTATCAATATGCTGATAGTTAGCAATTTAGTTAAGCATTATTTATTCACAAAGTCTCATTGTGATCAAGATCTTATTTGCAAAAGGTATCTAGAAATAAAGGACACACAAACATCATAAGATAATTTAGTGAAATAAAAGTATTTGTTAACAAATCTTATTTAAAAAACCTGCAAGCAGAACTTTACAATCCAGGGTCTCTAATTGCATGTCATTCCAGCAGTGATGTGCATAGCGCTTTACTAGAAAGTACCATGCACAATACAACGTAGTAAAGTAGTTAGCAGTGCAGCTACCTGACACAGCTCAGTGTGTTTATGTATGCACATTTTTTTTTCCATTGTGGATGGAGATATTTTCCCTGAGGGATAGGGTGCGGAGCTCAGTCACCCGTGAGGAGCTCGAAGTAGAGCTGCTGCTCCTCCACGTTCAATGGAACCAGTTGAAGTGGCTCGAGCACCTGTTTAGGATGCCCCCTGGACGCCTCCCTGGGGAGGTATTCTGGGCATGTCCCTCCGAGAGAAGGCCTCGGGGCAGACCCAGGACACATTGGAGAGACTAGGTCTCCCGGCTGGCCTGGGAACGCCTTGGGGTTCCTCCTGAGGAGCTAGAAGAGGTGTGTGGGGAGAGAGAAGTCTGGGAGTCTCTGCTCGGACTACTGCCCCCACGACCCGGTCACGGATAAAGCAGATGAAGATGGATGGATGGAGATATTTTTAAATATGCCCTGCAAATGTTAGTGTGATTAAATAATTTAATATGTAAATTGCTTTTTCAAATGTGGCCAGCTTAGTTTAAACATTCTGTATGTTTGCCACTTTGGCTTTTAAAGGGCGTACCCTGCCTTGCATCCTAGGATAACATCTAGCCCCTGTTATGACTGGCTTGAAGGCCACAACAAAAAAGGAGTGAGACACAATACCAGAGTAAAAATGTAACCACCGGTGTTTATTGAATTTAATGAGGTGTGGAAGTCAGTATCAGTAGTGCATGAGTCTCAGTGCAAGAGTAGATGTGAAGTGTACGTTACAAGTGCAAAACAAAACCAGAGGTTTAACTAAAAAAAAAAAAACACAAAGTGCTGCATGTTGGGGAGACAGACACACTGAGCCAGGTGCTCCTAATCATCACTCAGCCACCTCATGCAACCGAGAGCTTACACACATAACACCAAAGCAAGGCACACCCCCAGTGACTCTGCACAGGATAAGCCCTGAAACACAGGTAAATGATTGGAAATATACACCTGATTGCCCCTATTGACTTAAGGCGTATGTAACAGTAACCGGGGAGTGGTGTAATGCTGCTGTGAGCTGCCAAGTGACAAGAGATGAAATAAAGCTCTGTATTGTGTGATAAAGGTATTTTCATTCTTGGTAGAATAAGAAAGTCATTTCACCAAACTACATCATATCTCATTAGCAAGTATTCATTCTGCGTGGCAGAGTGCCTCACAGGCTCCAGATCAATGCAGTGGCTCGTTCCTGCACGCTTCACTGCACACACAGAAAAAAGGGAGTAATTGGGCTGGCGTGATGCTGAGGGCTGCATTCTGCTTTGTGCACATCCACTGTTTCACTGTGCAAACCCACTCTTCCTCCAGCCTGTTATGGAGGGCTAGTACCTCTCATTCTGAACAAGCTGAGTGATCATTCAACACAACAACTCAGGGCAAACCCCAACACACACATCTGAACATATGGTGCATACTGCACACACGCACATTCACACGTTAATATCAGTAGCATTTCACTTCCTCTTCTGCCCCCTCCTAATCCCTGCAGCTTCATTCCAGGAGAGATGCACTCAGCTTTATTACACCCCGCACCTCTGCCCAGCCACCATAAAAAGACTTCTGTCAGCCTTATTACAAGCCTGCTTCCTTTTCTGATTCTGCAACTCACATAAAACATCCAGCCATGTAGAAGGAAGGCTGCAAGGACGCCGCTGCAAATCACCACTGACACTTTTACTAACACTTCTCTCCCTCTCTACCTCTCTCCTTTTCATTCTGGTGCTCTGTCATACACAAACACAACCACACATCTACTCAGCTCTCTCCACTACTTCTACCCCTCTTCTTTTGTGTTTGATCAGACTCTGTCCCTTTTTCACAATCCTCCAAGTACTTTCAAAATGTAAAACTTGTCACAGTTTCTACTTGTGCATGAAAATAAAGCTTGAAACCAGTGCATATTACTTTAAACCTTTGTCACAAAACCAGAGAACTGTTGCTGTTGTATCTTATACTGATTTTCAGCAACTCTGCAGCCTTTTTGAGTCACACTGAATCTCTGTCTCCAAGTACACAAAAACTCATGCACAGAGCTGAAAGGTAAGTGCTGTAATTTTTTCAGATGATGCAGATTGAGGACATGCAGATACAGTGAAGATGCTCACAGTAGTAAACTGGAGCTGTAAATGTATAGGCTCTAATATAAAGATATCTTGAAGAACAGCAATGTCAGGCAGATAAACCCAGAGCAGGCTTCAAGATAAGTCAAACAACAATCCCAAACCCCAAGTGGCAGTTAAATGGCCTAATTGATTTCATTTCAAAACCCCTTCGCTCTCTCCCTCTCTCTTCCTTGATTTGCATGGAGTGACTGGCAAGAACAGAGAGGAAACTACACAGAAAAAAAAAGAAAAACAGGCAGCAGTGTAGATCTCAAAGTAACATCATGTTCCTATGGGAACACATTCACCATTGAGTCGAGTGCTCACTGCAGGATAAATGAAGCAGAGGATAATTTGCCATTTCAGTTCTGTGCCTCTGCTCAGCTTGATGATAACAAGATGGGATAATTCCGGCGTAGCTGCACCTTCCAGTAAGGATGTGTTACTGTCACATTAAACTGCAAAGAATGGGTCATTTCCACAGAATTACTCTCTAATAATAAATGAGCTCAGCCACGCCAGTTGCTGGGTTTCCTTCAACCCCATGTGCACAGTGTGTGTGTGACAGAGTGAGCTCATCAGCCCAAGGCATGCCCCACTCTAACCCCAGACACACAGACTCATGTCATTTCGTGTCCTTCACATAACTACACATCCAGCCTTGCATTATCTCTCCCTTTCAGACACATACATAAACACTTTGAACCCCTCCATACCTCCTACATGCTCACATACATGCCACACACACACACATACAGACACACACACTGCTCGCACTGCTGGTGCTTGTGTGTAGCGAGGCCTGAGGAATGATTGCAATATGTTGCAAATGACTCCAGCACTGCTGCAGAGTGTGCAGCATGTTGTACTCACTCTAATGATATGTGTATTTGTGAGTATCATGGGAGACACTGTACAGACACTGGCTATATCTTCACAATACTGTGTTGTTTGTGTAGCTGTGGGTGTCTATGTATGTGTGTGCATGCTCCTCAGTGCCTTCCACAGCTGCTGCAACTCAGTTATAATCTCCTGGGTTTATGTATGAACAGGTACTCACTGTACTGTACATACTCACTGTATATCACTGTGTAAGCATGTAAGTGAACATCTGACCATGTAAGACACAGTTTACATGTCCATTATTGTACATGTCATTTATACCATAACTTTTCATTTTAAAAAATCCTAATGAAAATGATGATGAACTCCAGCCTATGACTGTTTAGATAGATCAGTTTAATTGTAATCATTTGGACAGTGTGAATGTGTGTGAACAGTTACAAACCTGCCAGAAAAGCTTATCAGGCATTATAGAAAGGCTGAACAGATGCCTTTTAGACTTTGTTTACATCAGCCGTATTGCAGTGTGATGACCTGCATGTGTTCATCAGTGCATGAATGTGTGCGTGTTTGCGTGTGAGAGTGTGTGTACTAGTATTACTAATCTCGGTGCAGTGACAAAAGTCTGTTGTGGGGATTCATCTTCAATCTGGGGAAAAACAAAAATACCAATGCACACAGTTGAAATTTTAGGATTACTTAGTTTTGGTTAAGCTTAGAATGATCCTTGCTAGACATTAAGCAGTTAACATCAAGGAACATGTGTGGATCAGTGACTGAATGAGGTGATTAGCCTTTCACAGATCTTTACATGAGTGATGATGCATCACATGTTCTCATCAACACAGTCAGATTCAGGGAAAAGAAAAGACTTGCTTTTACTTAGGAATGCAAATAAAACAGCCTGTGTGTCCTTTGAAAGCACTGACAGCCTTTTCTCATACTGTCCACCGATGCATTTTGATTATACATGATGACAAATGCATACTGGATTCTGGTAGAAGCTTTTCTACTTGAAAGATGAAAATGTTTTTAAGGGGTCCAGCTCTGCCACATTGTCGGAGGTTTCAGAAATGCTGCATGACCATGTTACAGTTTTATCTTACTGCACCCTAGGGTTGGTGTACAGCAGTAAATACAAACATAAACAATGGAGCTGGGATGAATGTGTTTGTAATAGGG